ATCTCGATTATTTGAAAATATTTTGATGTAAAATTATATATATATATATATATATATATATATATATTCTAAAATATAATTTATATTAATTACTATAATATAAAATATATATTCCAAAATATAACTTATTTTCATTTATATATATATATATATATATATATATTATAGAAATTAAAATAAATTAGATTTTAGAACATATATATATATATATATATATATATATTAAATATAAATTATTTTCAAGTTGATAATTATTATTCTAATTTATTCAAAATATATATATATATATATATATATATATATATATATATAATTAATTTATAAGAGCGGTTAACATTTATTCTAATTTATTCTAATTAATTATTCATATATGTGTCACTTCTAAAAAAAATATTACAATATCAAATAAAGTAAAAATTAAAAAAATTTATTCATACAAATAAAAATTATATTTTACTACTTTCAACCATAATTCTATATATATTATTAATCTAATAAATACATTATTCTTTTTAAAACTATATTTAAAACTATAAATTTTATATAAAACATTATAAAATTATATAGATATATTTTTAATTATATAATTATAATTTTTATAATATATAATTGATAAATAAATTTTTTTATTTTAATATAATATATATTTTTATTTATAATTTTTTAATATATATTTGAGAAATTAATCAATTATAATCTATTATTTGAAAAACTAATCAATTCTAATCAATTATTTAAAAAACTAATCGATTATAATTAATTATTTGCAAAAATTATCGAATATAATCGATTATTTGAAAATTTAATCGATCATAATGGGCATAGGACATTTATATATGATAGTGGTTCCACGTTAACCGCTCTTAAAAGTGAACATATAATAGCGGTTCCACGTTAACCGCTATCTAAAACATTTTAGATAGCTAGTTAAATCTAGAACCGCTATCTAAAATCTCGTTTATTTGAAAAATTAATCGATTATAACCAATTATTTGAAAATATAATCGATTATTTGAAAATTTAATCGATCATAAAGGAGTAATTAAAAAGTAATTGATTTAGAATTCGATTTATTCGCAATCGAATCCTAAATAGATTTTTTTATTTTGATAAGAAAAGAAAAACTAATATATATATATATATATATATATATATATATATATTCTAAAATATAATTTATTTTAATTTTACATAAAAATATTATTTCTTTTATATGTATTTTCCTCGTAATTTATTATTAATTTCTAAAAAAATATTACAATATCAAATAAATTAAAAAATTAAAAAATTTAATCATACAAATAAAAAATATATTTTACTACTTTCAACCATAATTCTAAATATATTATTAATCTAATAAATACATAATTCTTTTTAAAACTATATTTAAAATTATAAATTTTATATAAAACATTATAAATTTATATAGATATTTTTTTAATAATATAATTATAATTTTTATAATATATAAATGATAAATAATTTTTTTAAATTTTAATTTAATATATATTTTTATTTATAATTTTTTAATATATATTTGAAAAATTAATCAATTATAATCTATTATTTGAAAAACTAATCAATTCTAATCAATTATTTAAAAAACTAATCGATTATAATTAATTATTTGAAAAAAAATTATCGAATATAATCGATTATTTGAAAATTTAATCGATCAGAATGGGCGTTGGACATTTATATATGATAGCGGTTTCACGTTAACTCGTTGTCTAAAATATGTTTTAGATAGCGGTTAAATCTAAATCCGCTATCTAAAATCTCGATTATTTGAAAATATTTTGATGTAAAATTATATATATATATATATATATATATATTCTAAAATATAATTTATATTAATTACTATAATATAAAATATATATTCGAAAATATAACTTATTTTCATTTATATATATATTATAGAAATTAAAATAAATTATATTTTAGATATATATATATATATATATATATATTAAATATAAATTATTTTCAAGTTGATAATTATTATTCTAATTTATGAATATATATATATATATATATATATATATATATATATATATAATTTATAAGAGCAGTTAACATTTATTCTAATTTATTCTAATTAATTATTCATATATGTGTCACTTATAAAAAAATATTACAATATCAAATAAAGTAAAAAATCAAAAAAATTTAATCATACAAATAAAAATTATATTTTACTACTTTCAACCATAATTCTATATATATTATTAATCTAATAAATACATAATTATTTTTAAAACTATATGTAAAACTATAAATTTTATATAAAACATTATAAAATTATATAGATATATTTTTAATTATATAATTATAATTTTTATAATATATAATTGATAAATAATTTTTATTTATTTTAATATAATATATATTTTTATTTATAATTTTTTAATATATATTTGAGAAATTAATCAATTATAATCTATTATTTGAAAAACTAATCAATTATAATCAATTATTTAAAAAATTAATCGATTATAATTAATTATTTGAAAAAATTATCGAATATGATCGATTATTTGAAAATTTAATCGATCATAATGGGCATAGAACATTATATATGATAGCGAGTTCCACGTTAACCGCTCTTTAAAGTGAACATATAATAGCGGTTTCACGTTAACCGATATCTAAAATATGTTTTAGATAGCGGTTAAATCTAGAACCGCTATCTAAAATCTCGTTTATTTGAAAAAGTAATCGATTATAACCAATTATTTGAAAATATAATCGATTATTTGAAAATTTAATCGATCATAACTGAGTAATTAAAAAAGTAATTGATTTAGAATTCGATTTATTCGCAATCGAATCCTAAATAGATTTTTTTATTTTGATAAGAAAGAAAAACTAATATATATATATATATATATATATATATATATATATTCTAAAATAGAATTTATTTTAATTTTACATAAAAATATTATTTCTTTTATATCTATTTTCCTCGTAATTTATTATTAATTTCTAAAAAAATATTTCAATATCAAATAAATTAAAAAATTTAATCATACAAATAAAAATTATATTTTACTACTTTCAACCATAATTCTAAATATATTATTAATCTAATAAATACATAATTCTTTTTAAAACTATATTTAAAACTATAAATTTTATATAAAACATTTTAAAATTATATAGATATATTTTTTTAATAATATAATTATAATTTTTATAATATATAAATGATAAATAATTTTTTTTTAATTTTAATTTACTATATATTTTTATTTATAATTTTTTAATATATATTTGAGAAATTAATCAATTATAATCTATTATTTGAAAAACTAATCAATTATAATCAATTATTTAAAAAACTAATCGATTATAATTAATTATTTGAAAAAATTATCGAATATAATCGATTATTTGAAAATTTAATCGATCAGAATGGGCGTTGGACATTTATATATGATAGTGGTTCCACGTTAACTCGCTATCTAAAATATGTTTTAGATAGCGGTTAAATCTAGAACCGCTATCTAAAATCTCAATTATTTGAAAATATTTTGATGTAAAATTATATATATATATATATATATATATATATATATATATATATATATCTAAAATATAATTTATATTAATTACTATAATATAAAATATATATTCCAAAATATAACTTATTTTCATTTATATATATATATATATATTATACAAATTAAAAAAAATTATATTTTAGATATATATATATATATATATATATATATTAAATATAAATTATTTTCAAGTTGATAATTATTATTCTAATTTATGTAATATATATATATATATATAATTAATTTATAAGAGCGGTTAACATTTATTCTAATTAATTATTCATATATGTGTCACTTATAAAAAAATATTACAATATCAAATAAAGTAAAAAATTAAAAAAATTTAATCATACAAATAAAAATTATATTTTACTACTTTCAACCATAATTCTATATATATTATTAATCTAATAAATACATAATTCTTTTTAAAACTATATTTAAAACTATAAATTTTATATAAAACATTATAAAATTATATAGATATATTTTTAATTATATAATTATAATTTTTATAATATATAATTGATAAATAATTTTTATTTTATTTTAATATAATATATATTTTTATTTATAATTTTTTAATATATATTTGAGAAATTAATCAATTATAATATATTATTTAAAAAACTAATCAATTCTAATCAATTATTTAAAAAACTAATCGATTATAATTAATTATTTGAAAAATTTATTGAATATCATCGATTATTTGAAAATTTAATCGATCATAATGGGCGTTGGACATTTATATATGATAGCTGTTCCAGGTTAACCGCTCTTAAAAATGACACATATATGAATAATTAATAAATGTTAACCGCTCTTATAAATTAATTATATATATATATATATATATATTTTTTTTGAATAAATTAGAATAATAATTATCAACTTGAAAATAATTTATATTTAATATATATATATATATATATATATATTCTAAAATATAATTTATTTTAATTTCTATAATATATATATAAATGAAAATAAGTTATATTTTGGAATACATATTTTATATTATAGTAATTAATATAAATTATATTTTAAAATATATATATATATATATATATATATATATATAATTTTACATCAAAATATTATTTCTTCTTATCTAGGTAAATAAAACCTACAAGTATGCTATTTGAGTAATTAAAAAACGAATACGTGCTACTGTAGAAAAATTTTCGAAGAACATGCATGAATAACATGAGAGAAGGAGGTAAGTCATGAACAAAAGTCACGGGCTGTACATGCAGAGGTCACGGGCTGTACAACCAACTTCACGTGTTCATAGCTGATAGAACTTGAACCAAAGCCCGTAGTTATAGGACTTATTCTTTCTTCTCTAGTTACAGTTGATAGGGAAAGTTATTGTATTATATAAAGCAAAGTTAGTCTCATAAGACTAGCTAAAAGACTCTATTCCATATGCCAAAGCTTGGAGTGAGACTTCGGTTCGGAAACATTCTTTACTTCACAAGAGTCTCCCACCAATCAGAGAAGTGGCTTGACACAGTCAAAGAAAAGAGGATAGTTTGATCCCAGATTGAACTGAAGCCTACTTCCTTTTTCTTGGGATCTTTCTCTTTCTTCCGGGAAAGGGAACAACACCCTACTATGTTCTCAGTTAACCCTTGTGAGTCGTGTTCTCAGTTAGTTCCTGTCAGTTGCACTGAGTTTTGAGTTGCCTTCGTGAGCGTGTTTAAGATCCTCGTCTTCTCCAACTTCTGTCTTTGTTAGAGCTCCTTGGAACCATAGGTAAGCGTCTCCTTTCCTTTCAACCATGACTGCCTCGTCGTTATGGCGCCAAACTCTCCTCCGGTTGCCACCTCTCCGGCCGCCATGGTGGGCCTCGTGGGTGCAGTTGCAGTCGTGTGCATGCATGAGAAGAGGTCCATAATCCCTCTCCATAATCAGCTATGCATGGCGACAATAATCTCTGCGTGGCGCATGGTAGGAGCCAAAAAACAGCTCCAGGACAACCTCTGCATGGCCATCTCAGGCGGCGATGTGGTTGTGCCCCTGTTTGGAGCCCCATAAACGTGGATCCATGGTTTGTCATACGTGAGATTCATTTGTTTGTATTTGTGTTGTAGGTTGGATCTTCGCCGCGGCCATCAACTTCGGTGTGACCTTGTCCCACCAACAACTTGCTTGGTATCTTGTTGGAGGAACACCCAGTGTATGGTTCTGTGTCTTCTCGTCATGGTTGGAACCTCAAACTTGGTTGGTACGTTTGTTTTTGGAGTCTGTGTGCATGCATAAGAGTGTGTGTGACCATTCAGATTTGAGGTATAAAACATGGCCAAACCTCCTCCACTCCAACAAAAAATGGGCACCATACGACCATGGTTTCTGACTTGTGCATTGGTTATATTGTTGTTGCAGGTTGTATCTTAGGGGCACCGTCAAGTTCGCCGTCAGCTTGTCCTACAAAGAGCTTCGTTCATATCTTCTCCCACAGGTATGGTTCATATGTTGTTTTCCATGGTTGCAACCTGAAACCGGTTCTACTCGGTGTTGTACTCCATGCATAGTTGAGGTAAAAATTGGTAGCTACTGCATATGCATCTTAGAAGCAAAAACTGGGAATGATGGAAGCAAAAATTGGAACGAAAAACTGGAACCAAAATCCCTGTTTTTGCAATTATAATTATTATATGGAAATTTTGAATTTTTTTATATATACTGAAAAGAAAAAAATAATTGAGAGATACATGAAAAAAATTTAGTAAAAATTAGGACAGACACTATTAATGCATAATTAAATAAGGAAAAAAAGTTAAATATAGTTATATTTAAAAAATAAATTTATTATTTTTATAACAAATGGAGTATGTAAAATTGAGAAAAGTAAAAAATTTATAAAAATGAGAATTTGTTAAAAAAGAAGTAAAAATATTAGAGGAAAAAAATTATTAGTAGTTTTGTAAATAATTTTTGGTTTTGTGATACTTGGTTTGCAAATGGCAATTTTGAATTACTTCCATTAAACATTAATTATATATATATATATATATATATATATATATATATATATATATTTTGCATATGGCAAACAAAAACATCGAGGTCATTGGTTTAGACAATGACGATATAGATACTCGGTCTCGGATATAAACATAATTTCACATATACAAAGTGAGATAAAAAAGCGAAGCGAAGTAGGACCGATGACAATTCTTTGTTTGATAGCTTATGGATTAAATATGTTGTCTATGGTAACTTGTAGTAGCGGTAACATTAGGGACTTTATTTTTGAAAAAGAACATCGTCGACACGAGTTGATGTCATACCTTATTCATACTGAACAATCTCGTGACATTATTCGCATGGGACCGGAGGCGTTCATTAACTTGTGTCAATGAGTAAGGACAATTGGATTAGTAAACGATGGGTTACAATCAATAGTGGAAGAACAAGTGGCTAAATTTCTCCATATTATCTGGACATAACGTTAAAAATCAAACTGTTTCATTTTTTTCCATCGATCAGGTAAAACCGTTAGTCGACACTTTCATAACGTGTTGAATGCGATAATAATATTGGAGGAACAATTAATTGTTCAACCATCAAGAAGGGATGTGTGTCCGTATATATTAAACAACAACCGATTTTACCCATACTTTAAGGTAATCTACTTACCAACTTTGTGTCTATAGAACATACACATAGATTGTCTAAACTTTAATGACAATAAATTTTTTTACCAATTAGGATTGTTTAGGGGCAATAGATGGAACTCATGTTCGGAGTTAAAGTCGCAAGATCCGATGCCCCTCGTTTTCGTGGAAGAAAAGATTGGCCAACACAAAATGTATTTGCAGCTTGTGATTTCGACATGAAATTCACATATGTTCTAGCAGGGTGGGAAGGAACAACATCTCGATTCAAGAATATTAAAGGATGTTCTTACGAGAGAGGATCGCCTTATCATACCACAAGGTTTATTATTTATAACGTGGGGATTTTGTGTATAGTCAACTAGTTTAAATATTCTAATTAGTATAACTTCAATGATTTTAAATAGGTAAATACTACTTGGGAGATGCTGGATTTATGTTAAAAGCAAACATAATGACCCCTTATCGAGGCATTAGATACCACCTTAAAGAGTATTCTCGACGAGCTCCACAAAACCCCCGAGAATTGTTTAACCATCGACATTCGTCTCTTAGAAATGTAATTGAAAGAACATTTGGAGTTTTAAAGAAAATATTTCCTATAATAGCTAGTGGAACAGAGCCTCATTATTCATTTGATACAATGATGAATATAGTCCTAGCATGTTGCATTCTACACAATTTTCTTCGAGGGATAGACAACGATGAATCACTGTTAGCTGAAGTGGATCGAGAGTTGATGGAACAAGATGTGGATAATATGTCGACTCAAGTTCGGGAAGAGGATTATAGGGAAGGGTCAAACTTAAGAGATACTATAGCAAATCAAATGTGGATAGATTATCAAAGTCATTAGATTTTGTATGTAACAATATATTTAATTAGATGTACTATTGTTATTGTTGAAATACGATTACATTACGATTATCTATTTATAATAATTATATGTTGGTATCGTAATTACATATATTATCTTTCCAATAGGTTTAAAATGAACAGAGGAAAGGATATTGCACCGAATTCGTCAACTGTAGTGCGCAAGTTTACAAAATGGACTGATGACATGGACTTTCGGTTGTTGACTGCTATGCTTCATGAGGCAAGGTTGGGTAATCGGGTTGATGGTAGTTGGACAACCCAAGCATATAATAATATAGTTGAATCCCTAAGACAATCTGAATTAATTGGTATAACTAAAAATAATGTTAAAAATCGACAAAAAAGTCTTAAGGATAGATGGCAGGAGGTCCACGATTTGTTTCATGGACTTAGTGGATTCGCTTGGGATGATATCACAAAACGGTTTATGGTCGAGCAAGAAGTATGGGATGACCTAATCAATGTACTATTATATGAATTATCATTTGTTGATATAACAAAACATAACAATTACGAGTGTTAACCATTCTCATTAATTTGTAGGTGAAGCCTTCTGCAGCCTAAATGGAAACTATCAACTATAAGGTATTATGATTTGATGGAAGAATTGTGGGGTGCCGATCGAGCCACTCGGACATATGGCAAGAACTTCGCGTCGATCCCGAATGAATATCAGTTCTCGAAGGGCAACAGTCGACTTGAACGTTGATGTGGACCCCACACTAGAGGAGCAGCCATTTCACTTTGGCTTTGATGCAGGATTTGATACAACTTATCGATCACCTCCATGCATGGGTTCCGACAGATCCTGCTGAGGGTGCTCGACCAATGCCATCTCGTTGCGTCTATCGGTTCGGTGGAACCTCTTCATCTCGGGGCACAAAAAGAAAAGAGCATATGGTTGATGTGATGGAAGGTCAATTTAACAAACTAACAATGAGGTTGGACACATTTACAGATTACCTTGGGCAAGGTAATACATTGACCCAACGATTATCCGACATAGCCGAAAGACAGTGGTCGCCATTGAACGCATAAATGATTTAATTAATGAACAAGTTAATGTGATGAGACGATCATCAACATTTCAACATTCCGAGTCGATATATGGGACATGTTAGTCGACATGAACCTAAATGACGAGCAACTTATGCTTCAGATGTTATAATCATTTGTGTACTCACGAATCACATGTTAGACGACTTTTTGGCTTGCCCTCACATCTTCGTCTCTCCCAGCTTGTTCATGTTCTTGGGTGGAAGTGATTGAATGATCTCGCTATAAAGACCTCAAAATACTTTAAGATTCATTCAGGAGCTCTTCGATCACAATGAATTTGGCGGACCTACTCGGCAAACCTTTCGACAAGATACTCGCTATTGAAGTACATTCCGACGAGGGAACTTCGAACTCGAGAACTTGACTCGCAAATGATCGATAACATTATAATTATTTGTTTGAAGAGCATTAGTGTGCATAGGTTTATAATTTTAGTAATATTTGTCAAATATCTAATGTCCGTATTAATTAATATTATTTGATAATTAAAATTTATGACATGTAATTCTAATATATATATATATTATGTTGAAAATATAAAAATATGATAAAAATATATATTAATATAATTTTTAACTAAATAATAAAATATTTTTACTATTAAGTTTACATGAATTTTTCATTTAATTATTATTCTATTTTCACTATATTTTATATTTATTTAAAATAATAATTTACAATTATACTATTAGTTTTCATAATTATTTGTTATTATTAGTCAATATTAATTATTATTTTATATTTTATAATTATTTAATTATTAGTCAAATAATTTATTTAATATGTCAAAATTATTTTTTTATGGATATGCAATGTAAATAATTTTGTAATTGTTTATTTATATAATTTTTAATAACTATTTTAAAAAAATTAATTTTTTAAATTTGTTTCCACTTACAAACACTTTTAAATTTTTTTTCTTTCAAATATATAATCAATGTTAAAATATGGATAATTAATTAAAAAATTATATTTATAATAATTTTAACCTTATTTTATACACAAGGGTAAAATGGTAATTTTCTTAAATAATCAATTAAAATTATAATTTTTATATCTCATATCAATCAAATCACTCACAATTTTCCATAAACGTTTTTTCACTTCCCATTCATCCAAACAACTTTAATTTCACTTTTATTTTTCTTCAAATTTCTCCTTTTTCACACTCCCATTTCCACTCTCTCAACTCACTCCAACCAAACAAGCCATTAATGTCAACTTTGTAGCGAAAAGAATGGTAAAACAGTTATTGTTTAACTGATTGCTAGAATTTTGACATGAATGTTTATCATAAATCATCTAATGAAACAGCAGTTGTATAATCAGGTCATATCAAGGTGAAGTAAAAGCAATGTTTTGTTATTGGGCCGTCATAGGCTTTTTCTTGTCAAAAGTCCAGTAATAAATGTTAGGCTATTAAGTCAAATATTATAATTTATAAATTAATAATTTCATAATTGATATATATTAAAATAAGGATAAAAAATGTAAATATATGAATAGGTTTGTTAGAATATTTATATAAGTAATATATAAAAGATATGTAATCTTTATAAACTATCAAGATAACTAATTATTTATTTAAATACTAGTAATACATGAGGCTGAAATACAATTTTTTTTTAAATACACATCAAACTTATACTCGTATCCTTTGAGTTTCACGGTTGAATGCAAAAGATGAAAAGAAATGAAAGATGCAAATCCGAACTAAAGGAAAATTACATTGATTGCATCACATTGATTTTTTTTTTTTTTTTAAAGGGACGTGAGCCCTTTTCAAAACTCAGGTTTTAATAAAATGCTAATTATTAGATATGTTAAAATGGATGATTTTGTTTGATCTGATTTGATTATACGGTTTAAGTAAAAAAAAAAATATTATTGAACTTGACCTATATTTTAAAATGGGTTAAAATTTTTAGTTTAACCTAATTCTATATTAGGCCAACAGGGAAATCTTGGTTTGATTA